CACATGCCCAGGTTGCAGGCTCGATCCCCAGTAGGGGGCGTGTAGGAGGCAGCCTCTTTCTTTGATGTTTCTATCTCTCTCCCTTCCTCTCTGAAATCAATAAAAATATATTTAAAAATAAATAAATAAAGACAGTGGTAGCACACTATGGTCCAAGGCCAAATCTAGCTTGCTGCCTGTTTATGTACAGTCTATAAGCTAAGAATAGTTTTACTTTCCCACATGGTTGGGGGGAAAATCAAAAGAAAAATAATATTTGTGACACATGATAATGATATGAAATTCAGACTTCTGTGTCAAATAAAGTTTTCTTGGAACACGGCCATATGTTCTATTGCGTGTCCCATGTGTTGCGGATGGCTGCTTTCACGCTACAATGACATAGTTGAGTAGACGCAATGGTGACCATATGGCATGCAAAGCCAAAAATATTTACGATCTGGCCCTGTACAGAGATATGTGCCAGAAATGTCATGCGTTGTCCAATACAGTAACTGGCCACTAGCTCCATGTGGCTATCAAATACTTGAAATATGACTAGTACATGTGGCTAAGGACCTGAAAGTTTCATTAACTAAATAAATTTTATTTCCATTTAATTAATTTACATTTAAATAGCTGCATGTGGCAGAGGCTGCAGTATTGGATGGCACAGCTGTAGAGATAACAGGAGGGCATCTAGACTGGGAGACACCACAGATTGCCCCGAAAGCAGAGAGATTAAGTGAAAAGGTACCTATGAAGACTGATGCCCTGCCCTGCCTCCTCCTCTCAGGCTTTTATCCCCATCTAGATTCCAGGATGCTGGCAGGGAGGGTTATACTCTGCTCGAAAGAAACTAGAAGAGCCCTCCCTGCAGAATTTGACCAGCTCAGGAGGAAAGACCTGAAGAGTCTCTCTAATGGAGAGTCCCACCAACGCTCATGGATACTAGGGCTCCTCACATGCACACGCTTTCAATGAGCTTTAGTCCAGGTCCCACCCTTTGCTCTGTGTGACAGCCCAGGATTATCACACATTTGAGGAAAGATGGAGACGAAAAAGAGGCCAAACAGATAAACAGATTTAAGCACAGATCTATGAGAACACATATTTTGTTAAATTTGGAGGACCATAAAGTTGGATGAGAAAAATGATCTCAGTTTTCACCAAGTTCAATTTAAATTCAGCATTTCCTTCGCTTATGAACATTAGCAACAAACCATAGTCATATTAGCAATTCCTGTGGTTTCTTCACCAACAGAAAACAGATACTTTCCTGTCACAATGCCATGGTTCAAGTTATCTCAAAATATCACTTATGCTCATCACAACTTGGAAATTATAGTAGTTATTAGACACACTGCTAACTCTCCTAATATAGAAGCCCATATGTTACTATATGACAGATTTGTTTTTTAAATATTTTGATAACTGCATTTCAATACAAATGATATCTTTTAAAATCCTATGTACGGGAGTTTATTCATTTAAAAATACAGGCCAGGGCAAAAGTAGGTTAACAGTTATAATACAAATAAATAATATAATGACTTACAAAGTTCATGGCCCTCCAAATAATATAAACTCATTTATTATTTTTATACAATGATTAATAAATAATAATGCAAGAATAAACTGTTTCTCGTCCTCGCAACTGTAAACCTCGCCCTGCATTATGCTGAGAAGAGGTCCACAGACTTCATCAGACTGCAAAGGGGTCCGTGGCCCAACAAGGGTTAAAAGCCTCTGTCTTAATGTTCTCTCTAGAGCAGTGGTTCTCAACCTTCCTAATGCCGCGACCCTTTAATACAGTTCCTCATGTTGTGGTGACCCCCAACCATAAAATTATTTTTGTTGCTACTTCATAACTGTAATTTTGTTACTGTTATGAATCATAATGTAAATATCTGATATGCAGGATGTGTTTTCATTGTTACAAATTGAACATAATTAAAGCATAGTGATTAATCACAAAAACAATATGTAATTATATATGTGTTTTCCGATGGTCTTAGGCGACCCCTGTGAAAGGGTCGTTCAACCCCCAAAGGGGTCGTTACCCACAGGTTGAGAACCGCTGCTCTAGAGTTACAAGTGGATGCGGAATGCAAAGAATAATCATCAAGTGCTATGTGCCAGATTTTAGACCTCATAATTCCCAGACTAGGTCTTATTATTCTTTTGATAGTTTTCATTAGTACTTTGAAATGCGCCTTTTGTTATTTCAATGAGATGTTTGGAGGGAGGAGAGATAAACAGATGTTCTTTATCAGCCCTCTTGACCAGAAAGTTCAGCATTCTTTTGTAAAAAATGGTACATGCACATCATAAACAAGTTAGAGAAGTACAAAAAGGACAGCAAAAAAAATCACCTCCAATTCCACCACCCGTTTGGTGAACATATGAGCGTACACACAAATATACATATACACACAAACTTACATCACAATCATTACATGTATAAAGATATATACATAATTTTAACAAAAACAGGATCAAACTACACATTATTATTTTTTATTCTTTTGCTAAATAACATGAATAATAATAAGAATGAGGCAGGTAACTACTTTCACCATACAGGGTTAGGACAAAGACTCAGCCCCTTAGAGGGTTCCTGCACAATGATCCATTCTGTTTCTCACCTTTGGCAACAGACACTACTAGCTGCTTAACCAGTGTCTATTTTCCCTTTCTTATTTAGTAACAAAATCCCAACTCTGCCTGGATAAAATGTGCCCAGTTAAAAATACCTACCTATATCTCTTGTCCTAGGGGTGGTCCTCTGACCTGTTTTGACCATTGAGATGTAAGTGGAAATTGGATAGGGCTTCCTGAGAATCTACTGTCTTCCTCATACGAAGGGATGGGGAAATTCAGCAGGCTTGTGCCCTTTCTCATTGCCTTTGCTTTCATTCCTACCTGGGATGTAGGTGAGATTTCTGGAAGTGGAGCAGCCATCTTGTGACTATGAGGGTACAAGCCACCTGCTAAGAATAATAGAACAGGAAGATAGAAATAGCTTCAGTCCTTAATGAATTCTTTGAGCCTCTGAACCAGCCTTAACTGCTTATCCCTAGACTTCTAGTTACATGAGAGAAATAAGGCTTTATCTAGTTACATGCAACTCCATGCAATTCTAACTGACAAGTGCTCCAAGAAAAGCCTCTTCTCTCCCTGTAGCCCTGACACATGACCTTAATAAGCACCTGTGGTGATCCAAAAATAGACCTGGGGAGGAGGGATTGGCTGTGGCTGTGATTCTGAACTTGCTGAGCCATCACCTGTTCTGTCCATGCTCTGAAGAAGAGTACCATTAATTACACTCTCCTCGGCCAGCCAGAGCACAGGAGGCTGCGTCTGTGTTCTCAGGGAAGCCCAAATATAGCTCAGGTGCCTGCACAGCTTTTGCTGAGTGTGCAGCATCTGTATGTCTGGCAGCTCCAGTAAAGAATGGGGAAGCTTCTCCCAGGAGAAGGAAGGTGAGTGCAGGGTATGAAGAAGGTGCTAGAAACCAGGGATATTGGCAAGGCCTGGTTCAAGGAAATAAGACCCTTCCTCCTGCTTCCTGCAACGCTGATATTGTCCCTCCTACTTATCAGACAACAAAACTTGCTTGAAGTCCTGAAGGTGGAGTGAACATGGGTCAGTCCTGTTATTTGGTTGCATGCAACAGAAGTGGACTCTATCACTGAAGAAAAAAATATTGGGGAAGAATATGAGATGGCTCACAGAATTGCAGGCAAGGCTGAAACACTAACTTGGAACCATAATTTCAGGAGGGCTGGGTAGCAAGGAACCAGCGTTGGGATGATATAGATAGGTCATGAGTCCTCTACACAGTTAGAGGACAGGATGCCTTGACTGACGGTCTTTCTAGATGGTATTGGGAAGAGTGGCTTTCCTGAAGCAACCCAAAAGTTCGAGTACCAGAAGAATGTCAAGAGGGTGTTGGGCGGTAAAAACAAAACAGCAACAAAATGCCCACTGCAGATCGTATAGAATCAGTCAAGGGTCTGGGTTTGAAGAACTGGCTGGCTTTAGTTAAAATCTTAGCACTGCCCTTTACTATCTGTCCTTGGTCAAGTCGATTTCCTCCTCTGTGAGTGACGACAATGAGACATGTTTAAAACCACGAGAATGGAAGCTCCTGAGGACAGGGATTTTTGTCTTTTCCCACTGTTATACCCCCTGCACCTCTTCTGGGGCACGGCTCATAGTGAATGCTCAGTGCATGTTTATTGAACGAGTGAATGAACTTTACATGTATCCCTGCATACCTCTTAGGCAGGGAGCTATTTTGTTGAAAAGATAATGTGACAGGTGCTTGGAGTGGAAAGTGAATGCCCCCTCCTGCCTCACCATTGCACTCTGGGGACGGGGAAGGTCAGAGAGGGCGAGATGTAGGCAGATACTGAGAGAGATAAAGAGACTCCGCCGTACAGACTCTTCCTTGATACACTCGCCACCAGCATGCTGAACTGCTTTCTGACATCACAGTCACTCTGCCCTCGCCTCCCGAGCAGGATCTTCAGCTGAAAACAACAGTCCCATGTTAAGTGCAGGATAGATCCACTCCAGCAATCTCCAGAACTTCTGACATAATGCTGGGTGTTAAACTCTGCTCATCGGTTTGACGGGCTAAAAAGTCTGAAGTGACCACGTCCCTACATTTCACAGTGAACCATGACATATAGTGGCACTTAGAGTCAATTGCAGCCCCGGGGAATGTGTGCATTGTTTTAAAAAAAATACATCCAGGAGGACATCATTGGTGAAGTGAATGTATTTCAACTCTATCATTCATGTCTTCAACCACTAGTCTTAACAAGATAAAATTCTAAGTCGTTTAGTTCCCCATTGTAGAAATATAAAGCTTAAAACAAAAAGGCAAACTTTGAAGAAATAGGGATTTCAATAACCAACATCTTTGTCATAGTCATTCATCATCACCCTCAGAAGCACCCCATCACCACCACAATTTATCACACTACTGTCACACCACCATTATTATCACCATGTCACCAACGACCATCAATGCCACCACCAACCTAACCAAGCCCAATGTTGCCAACAGCAGTGAAACCACCACCACCACCATCACCACCACCACCGTTACCACTTCTATCATCTCCATCTCTATCATCTTCACCATGAAATTATCATCAGTATTGTTAGCGCTACATAGTAAATGATTAACCACTTCTATCATCTCCATCTCTATCATCTTCACCATGAAATTATCATCAGTATTGTTAGCGCTACATAGTAAATGATTAGGGGTCCCACCCGGGTGACCTTCGTCAGGCTGGTATCATCACCCCCTAGCTGCTGTAAGAGTTGGTTACTCACAGGTCACAGCTACTCCATTCTCCTGAGAATTCACCTCAGCCAACAGAACTTCCTTGCTAGGAAATGCCTGGAAGTTCCACTCTGAAGGCATCCTGCACCCAGTGACTGACTACCTGGGATGTACAAACCCCTGATCCCTTGCCTCAACTCTGTGGGAGTATTCATGCTCCAGAGCTCTCTATGGGATCAGGCTGAGGCTAGACCTCAGCAGAACTCACATTTTTTGCTCATCTTTCTCTCCTGTTCTAGTCTGCACCCCTCATTTCTTAACAGGTTTCACCTTGAGAAGTCCCTCAATAAATCATTTCTACAAGAATCCTTTTCCAGATGGGAGGGGGGTGAGTGGGAAGGGTGAAAAAGGTGAAGGGATTAAGAAGTACAAATTAGTCATAGCTCATGGGTGGAGGGGGGCAAAGAGGCAAAATGGGGGACATCTGTTAATACTCTCAACAATAAAATAAATTTAAATAATTAACAACTAAAAAAAAAATCCCTTTTACTTCAAGAGAATCCAACCTAAGATATGTGACTGCCACTTTAGTCAGTGCTATAAATAGGACAGCAATCACCAACCTTTCGAACCTCACGGACCACCAGTTGGCGACTGCTGCTCTAGGAGACAGGTTTTGGAATGTGTTCCCTGGCTGCATCCCCTTCTTGGAGAAATTCTACCTGCACAGGCAGTGGTGTGCTGGAGCTGGCCGGCTCTAGCTCATGAGGGCCCATTGCACCCATTCTTCCCAGCTCTGCATTCAGTGACATTACATTGGTAGCTTGAAATCAGCCATGGTGGGAGTATTTACACCATGAAAATTGGCAAAAACTTTTGTTGTTGTTGGGTTTTTTGTTTGTTTGTTTTTGTTTTAGAGTGCTGGTTGTTAATTACTGGCATACCACTGTGTACAGGCCACCATGCAATTCCTAACCTTTGCTGAAATTCCAACCCAAAGTTGAAACTTAAGGGTCTGAGATAGACTTCTATCCCTAGGGAGACTTATCCACAAGTTATCAGTGGTGCATAAGTTATGTGGCCTGGTGATATATAATGGCTTAGGCCAGCAGATATCTCATGGCATCAATAAATTGTGGTTAGTTGGCAAGGCGAGTTGAATGATAATAATCATAGCTACCATTTATTGAACGCTAAGCTAAATTTGTGTTGCACTAAGCATTTATGTTGCATGCATTATCTTGTATAATTCTTATAATACCCCTTGTAGGAATAAAATCTGATTCAACAAGTTTGAGGAGGTAAAGTACTTGCTCAAGGCAGCATGGTTTGTTGGTAGAGGAACTGGGATTCAACCCTCCATCTTCAGACTCCAGATCTCATGAAGCAGATCTGGAGGCCTAGACAGGCAAAAACCACAGGCACAATGTTATGAGGGAGTAGAAACTAGAGCAAGTAGAATGTGCTCATCAGGATACGTTGGTTTCAACCAAACTTGAACTAGCTTCCACAAAAAAAGAGTTCATTTGGCCAGACCCATCCTTAGGAGGGGCAAAATGGGCTGGCTCTAGGACTGACTGAAAAAAGGGCCTAGAATCCAAAACCAAGCAGTTTCTCTCTCTCTCTCTCTCTCTCTCCCTCTCTCTCTCTCTCTCTCCCTCCCTCCCTCCCTCCATCCTCTTCCTTTTCCCCACTCTCCACCTCTTTGTTTTTCTCTGCATACTGATATCCTGCCAAGCAGGTGTTAGGGGAAGGCTATCCTGGGCGCTTGGCTCCATCTGATTGCAGAAGGTAGTTGTCCAAGGCATCCAGAGGGTAGTGCAATCCTGAACCCCGGGATTCATGCCAGGTGACTCTCTGATCAATGAAGAGACAGAGAGATTATCAAGAATATGAAAAATCTTATAGCTAGGGGGTAGTCTTCAAAGCGCATCTTCTCTCCTCATGACTGGAATTCCTATACTTGCTCCTGGTTCCTCCTGGGCAGCAGGTGGTGTGAAGTGGAAGAGGCATAGCATAGGTTTGATGTCACAGAGATCTAGATTCCAACAGTGGCTCTCCTGTGCCTACCTAACGCACTGATTGCCTGAGAAATATTTGATGGTTAACTGACAGTGTGGCTTTGGGCAAATCACGTTACTTCTCTGAGTCTCAATTTCTCATCTATGAAATGGAGGTGACCATCACACTTAGCTAGCAGAGTCATGAAGATGAAATGAGTGAGGTGAAGCACCTGGGACATAAATGGTGCTTAGTCAATGTTATTTTCCTTACCCACTCACTTTTCCAGCAGAATCAGCTCTCCCCTGTTACGTCATTTCCAACTTGACTAGTAGCCTCCACTCTTACCCCAGGCTATAGGGCGAAGGAAAATCAATTATATTAAAAATAGCTGGATAAGGCCCTAATTCCTTACATAAGTCCTAAAGTCATCTCTATCTTTCCTTGCCACCCTGGCTAGCCTCCAGACCAATTAAACATTGATGTTGTAGCTATACTTATCTTCTCCTCCCGCTTCCAGCCAAGCCTTGGACATCAATTCTATCCTTCAAATAAAAATATTAACCCTCACATTTGTGGAGTTCTTTGGTTTAAGGAGCACTTTCAGATTCCCTGTTTTCATGTACTCATTATAAGAATTAAAGCACACTGGAAAAGTACAGATAAGAAAGTAAAAAAAGTCAAGTGATCAAGGTCAACATCACCAATGACGTCACGTTGAGATCATTTGCCCCTGATATGATGTAATGAGACGAGCACATCACGTCAGTGGTCTTAGTCCCTAAAACTAGTAACCTCAGTCTAATCAGGAGAAAATATCAAACAAGTCAAAACTGAGGGGTATGGTACAAAATATCGGACCACTACTCTTTGAAAGGGTCAAAGCTATGAAAGACCAGGAAAGACTGAGAAACTGTTATAGGCCAGAGGAGACTAAGGAGGCATGACATCTAAATGCAACATAGTATTCTGGTTTGGAAACTGGGACAGAAAAAGGACATCAGTGGAAAAATTGAAAAAATACAAATAAAGTTGGTAGTGTAATTAATAGTATCATACCAATTACCATTTCTTAATGTTGATAACTGCTCCATGCTTATGTGACATTAGAGGAATGTTACTATTAAAGGCCAAATGGGATAGTACTTTGTGTACTATCTTTCATCTTTTCTGTAAATCTACAATCATTTCAGTATTAAAAGTTAAAAAAACAAAAAAGCTTGAAATTTATATATTTCAAATGAGATGAACATTGCACCAAACATCTTTCAATGCATGTATACAGATAATCAGAAATAACTTTAATTATTTTATATTATAACTACAGGCTTGGTGCACGCACCAGTGGGGTCCCTCTGTCTGGCCTGCGGGATCAGGCCGAAACCGGCTCTCCGACATCCCCTGAGGGGTCCCGGATTGTGAGAGCATGCAGGCTAGGCCGAGGGACCTCACCAGTGCATGATCAGGGCCAGGGAGAAATGCGGAAGGTTGGCCAGCTGGGGAGGGACCGTGGGAGGGCTCCAGGGTGTGTCCAGCCCTCTTGCTCAGTTCTGATTGGCCAGACCCCAGCAGCAAGCTAACCTACTGGTCAGAGCATCTTCCCTCTGGTGGTCAGTGCACATCATAGCGAGCGGTTGAGTGCTTAGCATATCATTACCATATTACACTTTGATTGGTTGAACCGATGACCAGACACTTAGCATATTAGGCTTTTATTATATAGGCTATAGGATACTCAAATTTTGAGAGATAATTATTTTACTTGGATTTAACAATTTTTAAATGAAAGCAAAGATGAAAGAATTTCTGAACTTTAGGTAGGTATCCTTCCACCAAAGAGATATTATCTCCTCAAAGATCCCTCTGGAAAACATCAAGAGGTTGCAGACATCATTTTTTTAAATTTTGTTTTTCAATTACAGTTGACATTCAATATTTCTTTTTTTTTTTTTAAATATATTTTTATTGATTTTTTATAGAGAGGAAGAGAGAGGGATAGAGAGTCAGAAACATCGATGGCAGAGAAACATCCATCAGCTGCCTCCTGCACGCCCCCCACTGGGGATGTGCCCGCAACCCAGGTACATGCCCTTGGCCGGAATCGAACCCGGGACCCTTCAGTCCGCAGGCCGACGCCCTATCCACTGAGCCAAACCGGTCAGGGCTGACATTCAATATTTCAATTTTAGCTCATTGTTACCTGTATTGGCACTGTTATAACTTTTCCCCAAACTTCCTGTTTTATATTAGTTATATTGATATTTTTACAGTGTTGTGTGAATCTGTTAAAGGTTGTTTTTAGTCATGGATTACAGGAAACCTAAGCAAACAGCAGTTTAAATAAACAAGTAGTGAAGAGTTAGGCAGTTGCTGTCATGGGGTTCAGTGCCTCAAGGATGTCAGAACTGGGTTCTCTACAGTTCTTCTGGAGTTTTCCTCATGATTGCAAAACAGCTGCTGTTACTCCAACCATCATGTTCTTGTTCCACCAAGGACGACAGAGAAAATGACTCTATAAAGAAAGGAAAGCTTTCCACAATTTCTTACTCAGCCACAGATGTGTTATTGCAATCCCTAGCTGCAACTGAGGCTGGGAAATGTGGGAATTTTTTTAGTAGGCACCTTTGATGGCCCCAATTTTATTGGTAAGGAAGAACTGCTGATTCTCCCAGTTATATTTTTGTTTTGTATTTAAATATATGTAATATTTACAGGTAATCTTATATACCAAAGCTTCTTTATACTTGAATGGTTTCTTTTGATCCACTTCTTGGTTGGCAGGATTTCATTGTTGGGGTGAGCTGAGGCTGGGACCCCAGGAAGCACCCATAGAAACCTGCCTTGCACCTCCCTAATGTCTTCACT